AGAGTTTTGCCAGAAAAGTTAATTGCCTTTTCCTGCCCCTCAAAAGAGTTAAATGAAATGCAGGAAAATTGTGTATAATTTAATATTCCGTACTAGGAAGTCATGTGGTGTACACATCAGGTGTTTTTTATCATAGCAGCCATATTTGTTTACATTTGAAACTTAGTAGACTAGTGGATTTGTTGCGAGTCTAGAGAAACTAAGCTTCCCAAAAATAAAGTAATGTCTTCTTTTATTATTGTGAATTAAATTATACTTAATCCATTCTAAAATTATCATTTACGTTATTAAATTATCCCATGTATTGACTTAGCATAGCGTCCACAATACATTAAGTCAGTTTCTGCCTTCAGTGTCTTTTTGCCGAGTGAGACCAAAAATAAACTTAACAGTTTTGTGCACCAAAAATCTGCCTCTTGTCGGCGGGACGAATTGCTTGTTTTTGCATAGAAACTGTAATTTTAATTATGAAAAAAATTTTTTTTTAATTGTCTTAACTGTATTTGGTGTTTTATGTTCTTCCATATCTTATCTTTCAATTTTTAATGTAGATATTTTGAGATTTTATGTATTTTTGCCTTCTCACGAAGTGAAAACTATATCTCTAAATGAAATTCGAGGAAATAAGTTTAAATGAAAGGCAAGAAAAAATGTGTATAATTTAATATTCCATACAAGGAAGTTGTGATGTACACATCAGATTTTCTTTCACTGCACAATCTGCCACTGATACTTTACTTTCTGCACTTTAGAAGAAGATTTGACAGGTAATTATTAAAACTTAATTGGCAGTTCTTTACCAATAAATGTGGATGAACACATTGTTGATATTTATTATTATCTTGAAAAGAGTTCTAAAAGGAAGAGAAAATTGAAACTATTTCAACAACTGCATACTACTGAAATAAGAAAATGTTTGAAATATGTATGTACACTACACAAAAAAAAGGGGGGGCACAGTTCTATATATCCTGTTCTGCTGGATCAATTGATGAAATTCAACTTGTGTTTTATATGTATAGGATATGTATTAGATTTATATATAACATTTTTCTAATATGGGTATTTTGACACAAAATCGGACTTGTGAAATGACATGCCAATTTTTTTTTCCATATTTCGATTCTACGACTCAAATTACGCCAAATTGCCAAGTTTTGTAAAAATTGCACAAGTATTTTCTAAAAAATCAGCTCTCAAAATTTTAGCTCCTCAACACTAATTGAATTTGATATGTATTTATGAATATTACTTTTTATTAAACTTGATTCCTTCTTCCAGACTTCAAAATTTAGGCTTAATCCAAATATAATTTGTACATTTTTATGATTTATTTTTAAAATTTATATTTAAATATTTTTTATAAATTTTTTGAGAAAATTTTTGTATTATATAACCTATAAATTTTTTAACATCATCTTAAAGTAGATGTATTTCTATGCACACCTGCAAAAAGTTAAAAATTTTTTTATTCGAAATTTTCGAAGATATACATGAATTTACGTATTAGCGCACTTTGAAAAAAAAAAAAAAAAAATTTTAAATAAACCGATAATAACGCTAAATGTGGTTTATGCACTTTGTTAAAATGATTTGAAAGTATGAATGATGACTTTTTTCCGCTCAACTACAATGAAAAAAAGAAAGGAAAGTAGATTGCTATTAATTAAAAAGTTCACTAAGTAAATTATTTTAGATGCAAACTGAAAAAATATGATAAGATAAATTTTTTAATTTCTCCGTAAATTTTGCACCAAACTTTACAAAATTTAATATGTATGCATTATTTGAGTCATACAATCGAAATATGGGAAAAAAATGGTATGTTATTTCAGAAAAAAAGTCTGATTTTGTGTCAAAATACTTATGTTAGAATAATGCCATATATCAAACATGGCCAAACTGCAGCTCTCCGACACCTCAACTGCAGCTCGTGAGGTACTTGGAATCCTTTGCTACCTGAAATGCGACTTCTTTTGAATAAATATAGTCGCGCTTTCGAGATATGAAAAATGCAATTTGAATTTTGTCAATCGTCCCAGTAGAAGGGGTGATATAGAACTGCCCCCCTTGCAGTGTACATGCTGGTTATCTTCAAAGAAATGTTTATTTAGAATTCTCAACCACTGGAACTACTTGCATTTAAGAATTAGTAATTTAACTTTCGTACATTAATTAATTACTATTTCAAGTTAATTAATTGTGAAAAAATACACTTTCTTTCTATGTATTTTTATAATTAAAAAATATTTTTGTCATTGAGAAAAATCTGATTTTTTTTGGGGTGTATGCATTATGGGCATTAAACCTGAATGTGTGTGTGGGGGGGGGGGGAAACCAATGATAGCCAAGACTGATTGGCAACATTTATTGCTCTATAGAGATTTATAAATATTGTTTTTCAAACAAATATATTGCAAAATTATAAGCAACATAATTAAAGCAAGTCAACAAATATAATGCCTTATATTTTAATTTCAGACAAGGATATCCTAAATATTGCATGCTGCAGTATTACCATTTTAAAACATTGGACATATTTATTATATATACACACACACATATAGTGCATATATATATGATGCACAGACAGAGATAAAACAAATCTATATGCGTCTATACACACCAACACAGAAAACAAATATATATATATGCATATAAAGGCTTATTAAATGTTCCAGGTTTGCTTGGGGTAATTCTTTGCACATTTAAAAAATGTGACTGGAATTTGATTGAATTGTGTTTTGTTGATGTCTTTTCTTTCAAAATAGTGTATTTTCTAGAAGCATAAATTTACTTGTTTATTAATTGAATCCTTATATGCATATATATATATGCACTAATTTGCTCAAAAATATGATTTCCTTTTACATTTTAGGATAAATTTCAATAAATAAAAGTGTACATGAATATTGGATGAGAGCAGAATTCTGATTATAATTCATTTGGTTTTGATCAGAATGAGAAACAGCCACCTAATTAATATAGTACTTTATTATAACACAGAGGAAGATATACAAAAAATTAATGATAATTTGGTTCTGATCAGAATGAGAAACAGCCAACTAATTAATATAGTACTTTATTATAACACAGAGAAAAATATACAAAAAATTAATGATAGATTAATACTTATTTTCTTTCATATATATAATTATCAAGCATAAGGCCCATCAGCAGCTGAGGGGTAAAATTGTTGAACAGTGGCAGTTGGCAGTTCTACCTGGTTCGAATTCTGGCTGAATGGGAGTTTTTGTGGTATTCTCCAAGTATAATGTGGATAGGAGATAGTTTCCCTTAAACATTCTCCACAAAGGCCTTCCTTCCCATAAGTAGATAGCGCTCGAGTTGCTGTCTTAACCAATTAGTGTTAACCATAACTAGTATAGTAGAAGCAGCATTAAGTGAAACTGCTCGATAAATAAGACTATCATAATTAAAAAGAGTTATACAATATATATGTGTGGTAATTAACTTGTGTGTGTTTTTTTTCATTTAAAGTGTAAATATTTTATATATTATGATAATTAAATTCCTTTCTTTCATTCTGCAATTTCCTTTATTTAAATACTCAATTATGAGATTGTACCAAACTTTAGAATAAAAATGTAGCAAAGAAGGGAGTCTTATATCCGAGTAAACACTGTATGTAGGAGAATAAAAAATGCCACAGACAAAAAAAAGGGGGAAGTAAATAGAAGTAAACATGCTGAGTACAGCAGATTTTGAATGCATATATATAAATGATCTTCCTTATTTGAAGCAAAATACACATACAAACAGTCTCGAATTTAACTTTCAAAACTTTATATACTGAGCATTTTTATTTTTACTTATTTATTACAAATAGATAGGGAAAAAAGAAAAATTTTAATTGATAACTCTTGAAAGAATTTTAAATACTTTCACTATCTCAAGCTGCAGGTTTCCCTGTGCTAAGGTAGCATAAACATTTGCCTTCTAATTTAAGACTTGTTTGAAAGATTTAATATCTTAATTTCTTTACTTTAGTTTATCTTAAACATAAAAAGATATTTATTTATTAGAAAGATGACAAGACCCTATTGAATAGATACAATAGATGTATATCTGGATATTACTGAGAATTAATATGTGTGTAAGTATTGAAATGAAGGAAGCATTTCAATTAAAGAAAATTCTAGAACTATTAAAAATAATTTAAACAATTCTTTCAGGTTCAGAAATGATATCGGTTGCCTTTAAAAATAGCCGCTGTTGTTTCACGTTTGTGTAGAATTACAAGACGATGTGAGGCTTGGCCTCGATCTTTGCTATTAATACAGTAAATAACATTTATATATCCCGAAATACAGTTTATAGGAGAAAAACAATGAGAACATTAGATTATTTCGTGGCATTTATGTTAGCTAAAAAGGGGGGAAAATGTAATAGACTAAGCAGTTGATAATAATGAAATATATAAATGAGGTCTGGCCTAAAAATATAAGAGTTGAGAAAAACACAAGTATTGCAACCTAACCAAGCAAACAGAACAGCATCTGACAGCCATGCAAGTTTTACTGCATTCACAGAGGGGACAAAAGACAGTTTGAAAATGTCTTCTGATCAGGAAATAGTGAAAAAGAGAGAAGAAACATTTGCAGTCGCATTGCACTGAAGTCTAAAATAAGAGTAATTAGTATTTCAAGCCAATCTTAGAAAGTTAATATATAATTTCAAAGCTGGAAAGTATAGATAGTTTGTAATCCAATGAAATTAATCATGCTAATAGTGTTCTTTTGAAACTATTCTTTCATTTAATGGGTATAATGTTCTAATTCTCCAAGTATTCCAATTATTATGCTTATGCTGGAATTTTAGTATTAAATTCAAATTCCTTACATACAGCATTTAAAGCATGAATGTATTCAAATATTTTTCAAACCTATTCTATTTTCAAATCATGTGTAGTACATATAGAAAAATGTAATTTCATATGTTTAGTAGATTTTCAACTTGCTGTTTTATTTTCAAAATAGAAGAAGGTATTTGGAAAAAAAAGTGGCACATTACAAATTTTAGAAATGGATTCTCATAAGTTGCAGCATAGGTATGGAATACCTGAACTTTCACAATCCCCACCTGAGAGCATATTTGATCCAAATGAACAGATCTGTTTGCTTGTAAGTATTTTTTTTAATGCTGATGATAATATACATATATATATGAAGCATACTTAGATGTAATGATGTTCTAGAAACATTGATAGTGTAGATGTAAAAATATTGCATTTCTAAGATGTTGATCCATAATGAACAGCAATTTAGAAGCCGAGGCAGATTAAATATTAATTTTTTCAATAAACATTTTGCAGCCACAAACAAATTGGCACACTAGTCATGCCTTTTTGAGAATATTTACAGTTTGAATAAAATTGTGGTAAAGAGAGAAGCAGATAGAGACATGTGTCTCGCATTCAGAATGAAATCTTAATTCAGAATGAGTTAGTTTCGACTTTCAGTGCATTTGATTGGACATTTAATAATGCTTAAAATTATTGTCTATCTGAATTTTAGTTCTAATTATGCCACCAGTGTTATGCAAGAGTAGTACGACAGAGATTAGGCTAAAAATGATGCAATGTAGAAAATGGTATTACTGTTTTTATAACAGAGAGGGGAAATACTCAAATTAAAATTAAGCATTAAGCAGCTGCTGCTAATTTAAATTTATATTTACATATTTTTCTTACATATCTATATTGCAAAATAAAATGTTAAAAAAATACATTTAAAATCTATCCCATATAAACCAAAAAACAGAAGCACAAACCTCAAGAAATAAGGGACAAAACATGCCAAAACCAAGAAAGAAAAATGATATTTACATCTTTCACTGCATCATCATCGGGAAGTTGTTACAATCAAAGAAGTAAATAAATACAACAGCCTGTTTCTGAATTGACACAAACACAAATTAAAATTTAAAATAATCATAAAACAATCAAAGTAATTTGTGTCTTTATTGGTCCAACTCCTAGAGGCCAAAGTAAGCAGTGCAAAAATTGTTGTTCAAAAAAAGATTGTAACGTAATAGATAAATTTTAAAAAACTTAGTAATAATAATAAAAAAAAAAAAAAAAATATGCAGATTTTTCATTCAGAATTGGAAAAACAAAACTAAGCCTAAATTTTGAATACACACAGGCCAGGTTAAAAAATAAAAGCATAATTCTTAAACAAGCAAAAAGCTTAAAAATGTAGTAAACATTTTTAAAATTTTAGTGGACTGGACTGAGTACAAAAACATGTTAAACAGAAGTAATCCAATATATGCAAAAATAAAAGAAGGTGGAAATTTGGTCTAAAAATATAAAATATAAGAATAACAAATAATGGAGTAATTTCTTAAAATCTGTAACATAAGATATGAAATGCTAAAAAATATTTATATAGTCCTGTATTGTATCAAAGCCTAAAATATGTTAAGATAGACTACAAATTTAAAACTGAAAAAATAAAATTAATTAAAAAACATATTGTAGAAGTAAAAAAATAAATAAATAAATAAATAAAAGGACATCGAATTGCTTGGTTTATGAATCCAAAAACTGTCAGTTTGATTGTAAGTGAAGTATTAATTTGTTTCAATTCAACAAAAAGTAGTTGTAATTAGTTTACTGAATGGAAAAAGTTGTAGTGTAAACTACAAATTTAAACTGATAATAAGAAAAACATTCTGTTATACCATAAAAATGAATAATTTGAAAAAGGAAAAAATATCAAATTGCCTCAAAAATTAATACCAAAGTAATCTCAATTTTAGTACATCTTTTGAATATACTTGTTCAGCTAATACATTTGTGTTTAAATTACACCATTAATAGGCAAATTTTTATTATTAAATTGCATGTGTATTTTTGTTTCAAAAGCAATTCCAAAAATTTTGAAGTTAAACCATTCAAACTCCTCAGTTTTGCTGGGAAGGCAAGTAATCATTTCTATAATAATTCCTTTTATTCTTATTTGCATTTAAATCTTAAACTTGATTTAATGGAGGTCAAAGAAAATCATTCCAAACCTTTGCCTTACAAAAGGCTTGATGATGCTATTATTTAAACCAAAATAAATTATTAATTTAGCATAAAATAGTGCATGTATGTATTCTTCATGATGTGCCTCATAAAAAAATTGCAGAATAACAGGTATAACAGAATGAGATCCTTTTAAAAATTTATTTTCTGCAGACTATGGAAACATCAATGAATTTCAAATTGGAACTTTTACATCTTGAGTGATATTAGCTTTGAAGAAAACATGAAATTGCAAATATTACTAAAATGAGTGTTCAATAAAAAACATTCAAATCAATAATGTATTTTATAAATGCTTCAGAATTTTTAGTTCATTTTTTCACACATGTGCATTAAAATTAAACAAAAAAAATTTTTAATTTCAGTTCTGAAATTTTGTAGAAAATTAAAATTCCAATAATATTAATTCTAGAAGTTGTGTGAAAGAAATATAGGGCAACATTTCTTAAAAAGTCCACTACAAAATCAGTATTTGGCTTAAAAATATGGCTCTTTTAACTATTTTTTAAACTTCTGGCATATCTGAAAAAATAAGTATTAGCATAATAAAAGTACAGTACAAAGTCCAAGATCTGGACTCAGAGCTTTGGCGACTTTAGATCATCAATTTAAATTTAGTAAGGAGATGACATGTAGAAATTATAAAATTAAAAATCTGAAATAATTGTTTACGAAATAATGAAGCATTTATGACTTCAAGGGAATCAACATTTACAAAAAGAAGCTCAATATTTATTTGTTTGCTTTATTAAGTATTTCTTTCAATGTAAGTTATTTTGTTTTTAGTGTTAATACTTTTTTCTTCAATTTTATAGACAAACATAATTTCTTGTTCAGAGTTCCATTATTCAGGTCCTATAATTGCCAGGTAAAAAATTCTCACTAAACTGTGAATCAAAATCTTTTCATTCTCAAAAATCTCTTTGCCACTAGCAATAGCGATATTTTCTGGATTTAAAATCATACAACAGATTTCGCTGTCCACTAGATTGATTGATTGCTGATTGGGGCATTGTCATAACAATGGAAAAACTCCTGTAATATCTTCTTCATTTATTATCATTTCTCCACAAATTTCATTAACTGGAAAATTTCAACTTTTATATTATTCAAAATGTATGCAGAAATAAAGTTGTTGTTTTGCCTGATTTTAAAATCATACTTTCTAAAGCCCAAATAGCACCAATGCTGTTTTTTTGTCTAAATATCACTATCGAAGTCAAATACTAAATATGCTTTTGCTTTGCATATCATGCTACAGTCTTTTTGATATAAACAAAAATTCAAACTTTAATTTTGATAAAATAGTGTAATAATAATGGCCAGCAAAAAATAATAAGCTGGATCAAATTAAGTAAGGAAGAGTGGAATTTTTACTAAGTTAAATGAACTTTTAATTCCTTCTCTCTTTCCACTATTATGCCAACAAAAGAAAACCAGTATTAGCTCCAAACAAATATGTCTCGAGGCTTCTCTCTTTCTGCTATTAAGCCAACAAAAGAAAACCAGTATTAGCTCCAAACAAATATGCCTTTGGGCTTCACCTATTGTTTAGGCTAGGCAGAAATATATCTACAGCCACTCAAGGGCTATAGTTTGGTCATAGTTAATGTCAAACAATGCACTGTAATTGGCCACGATGATTCCCAAGCCAGCAGGTGTTTGGAAGTGACATATAGGAATCTCGATTAGTCAAGAGAAAAGTGCTTTATGACACATCTGTCTTGGAATTATTATACTCTCCTAAAATCTGCATTAACAGGTAATATAAAAAAAATTAAAGTCAATTCCTACTTAGGTCAACAAAGAAAAAATTATTTTAGTTACTTTTAACATTTTTTCATTTCTAATTTATGAAGCTGATGGTGGTCTATAATTTCTCATTCTATCCATCTCTTGTAATGCTTCATTATTGTAAGGAACCTTTCCAGTCAGTTTCGAGCAGTCCAGTTCTTCAATTAATATTCCATCTAATGATTTCACATGACTCAAGGCGACATATGCTTGATTTGCTGCGAAGAGTTTTCATCCTAAATATATTACTACATAATCTATATAATCTACACTTTAAAAATCTTTAGAACTCTGTCTTACTCTTGCCACTTATTTTTGTTAAATATTACAATCCCATTTATCACATTCATTTACTATTATTTTCAAGTTGTTATAAAATTACTTTTTACAGCACGTGAGAATTCCTAATAAATTGTCACTATTTGTAAGTCTTATAATATATTTAATAAAAACAGCATATCTGTAGTTCCGATAAACAGAAATAAATAAATAGGAATTGACTTTAATATGTGAAAAAACTATTAACATCAAGTGTCATCCATTACAAGTTTTAAAAAAATGTATCTGAACTTTGAGTGGATGAATAAAAAGTGTTTTATTAACGATTGAAAATTTGAACAAGATATAGGGAGAGTGTGAGCTAATAGTAGGAATTTTTTTTTAAAAAAAAGTGCTTGTTCGAAGGTAATATATATCAATCTGGATACTGCACGTCTGGATTTCGAACTTAGCACCGTATAAAACAGCTATTGTGAAAATCATATAATCAGCATTTTTAAATGCAAAATGAATATTATTCATAATGAAGGAAGCATTGTGAAGTATACATTTATGCAAGGGAAAAAATAACAAATACTCTAAAAAGGAGTATAAATTTATAATAGATTACAGTATAACCTCAGGGGGAGGGGAATCTGCCAATTCAGAGAATGGTCACTATACAAGTTTAAACATATTTGTCATAATAAGAAAACAATACACAATAGTTTAAATTCGATGAAATTTGAAAGAGGCTTCTTATATGATTTTACCTACGTATATGGATGATTACATCACATGCTGTAGAACTTTTAACCAAAGTCGATGAGCACAGATTTTACCCTTTAACCATAATAATTGAGATAGTATGATAAGAAGCATAAATTCATCTAAGTTACTGTAATAAAAAAAATTGATTTGTTGTCACAAAAGTGGACAAAAGGACAATAAATATGATGTTGGAGAATTTAGAGTTGCAGTTATGATTCAGGATTGCTGCTGGTTTCTTGCATAATGGAATATGAGAATTAAAATAAGTTGAAAAAGATGCTAAAGTGAATTACTTCATTTTAACTCTTACAGAAATTTCATCTCTTCATTCACAGAGCTATACAAGTCATTATGATAAAAGTTAACAATTCACATAAAAATTAACCTCTGAATTTCTTAATAAAAATAGACATGCATTAAAAAATATCTTTGTCTATAGTCTATTAAAATTGATTGATATTACACCAGTAGACTGTTCTGTTTCTGATTTGCTAAATAGCACTATCTAAATAAAAATCTAAATTACTGAACTGACAGTGATTCTCAAACTTTTCATTGAATATAACCCTTAACTGCCACAAAAAATCTAACGTACACCGAAGATAAAATTCCTCCGAGAGGGTTCACAAGACCTTTCAAACCTAGCAACATAGTTTTTAATCATTTCAGAATTCAGTTATACTAAAAATATCTGAAAACTGTTCCCTTTATTTTTTTATTTCATTTTAAGAATCATGATCTGTTGATGATAGAAAAGTTTACATCTTCAACAATTCCTTTAAAAATAAAGAATGAAAAGACAGGCTTTCTATTCACAGTTTTGAACCATAGTTCTGGAGACAAAAGATTATGAAATTTTGTATCATAAATCTAGATTTTGAGAAATTATGAATTCTTAAATGTTTTTCTTCGGCAGGGAGTACTTCGGATACAATGCTGAGAAGTGTTTCTAAATTACTTCATTTTGCCACAATCATTTTTCAGAAATAATAGAAGTTAAATAATATGTACGTTTTCTATTTTTGAATAATAAGTACAGAGTATTTTTTTCTTAGATGCGTCATACAGAGGGGCCTTTCCCAAATGACATACAGAGGAAAAATGAAAAATATTGCAAACTTTTGGAACTGTGTGCCCTCTTTGTGAATATAGCTCAGTGTGCTGTACTACTTAAAGTAATTTTTGGTTTATATTAACAAAATGAATTATTAAAATATATTTAATTTTAAATGTGCTGATAAATATAAATACTTGTTAATGTTTGCATTAAAATTTTTAGTTTACCTAAACGTAGTTTTGTATGATCCCTTTTTAATATTTTAAATGCTTATTATTTTATTAATTTATGAACATTTTTAATATAATCATATCTTAGTTTACAGAATTTGCTAGTCATATGTTCAAATCTGAAGTGTTTGAAGTGCAGATGGCAGTTTTGACATTTGTAAAGGCATGGAAGAAAAAGAATATTTCAAGTGCAGAACCTCAAGTAAGTTACATCAGTTAAATAGGCCATGTTGTGTAATTAGCCATAAGTTAGTAATTGCATAATATGTTAAGATTTAAAAACTAGAATGAATAAAATAAAATTATTGTGCTGAAATAAGACATACGGATTTGTATGAATAAATAAAATAAAAAAACTGTTTGATGGAAAACCATATAAGTTACATTATGCATGCATGATAATAGTACTGTATGTCAGGTATGCAGGATTTATGCTACCAACAAATGACACTGGTATATATGCAATATGTAAGAACATTGGATAATAGTTAAACAAGATAGCGACACCCTGAAACAGTACACCAAGGTAAAACTACAAAGTGTTGTGGGGGGGATTAAATTTGGGAAACTTATATCCAAATGATATTATGATTTTATATGTCACATTACTGAATATACATACATGAGTCGTAAGTATAAACAAACTGAAAAGTTAAAAATGGCGTCACTAATATGCAAGATTCTTCTCAAAATCTAGTGTTCACAGTAATCACAAGCCATTATTGTAGCCATGCAGAATGTGGTGTGGGAAAATAGGTATATTATAATCAAAAAGGTAGCACACCGTTAGACATTAATGTGGAATGAACCCATCACAATTTTTATGATGAATTGAAGTTAAAAAAGTGTGTGTGTTTAAGTATTTAATATCTACAAAAGAGAGGTGTATTGATGTATCAGCTTCTATATCAATATGACCCTGATAATGAAGCATTTCTGTGGCACACTGTTATTTGGGAGGGGAGCTGAGCATATACATATGTACTATGAAAATGAAAGTATATAATAGCATTGTATCACATCTCATCCCCCAAAGTAAAGAAATCCTAGGAGAAAATAAACAAGAATGCAGATTTGTTCGCTTTCTTGTTTATTTTCTTCTAGGATGGCAAGAGGTAGAGCCTAGGGTATGTTCAGATAAAGAGCTTCGCAGTCATAAGATGCATAAGCTGAATTACTTTTAAGCCTTAAGATGCCAATATTTGTTAGTAAACCATCATGTGAATGTTCCCTTATAGCAAGCACTACATACACATAGGAAGCACTAACACCAGTGCCAACTATTGATGTATATTTGAAGGTAGTTATTTTTAGAATGGCACAAGTTGTCATCAGTGAAGTGCATCTCTTCCATGACCATGTAGGAGGCATTATTTGAGTGTATTGAGTAAATTGTGAATGCCATACTTTTCCATACTTATTTAATAGATTTCAATACTTTCAGTTAACTAAAGGATTAATGAAAGTAGATCAGTATTTGTAAATACACACACAAACAAAAAAAAAAAAAAAAAAATTCCCAGCGATAAATGACTTTGAGTGTAATATGAAATAAAAAATTAGTTTTAAGTGTAATTTGAGTAAAAACTATTTTACTCAAATTATTGAAATTCAGTCTTGTATTTCCCAATTTTCTGTCATAAATATATACAGTACAAAGTCCGTAATCTGAACGTCCATTATCTGGAATGATGTATAATCCAGACCTCAAATCCACAATTTTTTTTTTTAATGCTTTATGCATGCGCATGTTAAAAGAAATAACGTAAACAAAAAAATATTTAAGCTTTTTTTTTTTTTTTTTTTTTTGTAAAATTTGATACCCTTTTTTGTAAAATTTGATCATAATTGCTTTTTATTTCATAAATTACGATTTCATATTTTCAATTGTATAATTTCCGCATGCCATCTTACCAGATTTAAATTGATGATCTGTAATCCGGAAAAACCCTAATCCGGAATCGCCGAAGTCCCGATGAGTCCAGATAACGGACTTTGTACTGTATTTAGGGAAGGGGGCTGAAAGGAGACTAGAATATTTAAAAACATCTGTTATTTAAATTTTCAGAATGACACACATTCTCCTAATATTTTATATTCAAATTATAAGCAGTTAAAGTGTTGTTTAAATTAGCTTTAGATCTACTGTGTTTTTATATTCTTATTTATTTTTTCAGTTTGAAGAAACACTAAAGAATTTTGCAATGCTAGTTGCTGAAACACTATGCTGCAAAAATTACATAGTACAGAATGAAGCTGTCAGTACCTGTGTCACTTTATTTAAGTTTAATCCTCAGATCAGAATAATGAAAGAAATTCTGGGGATACCTTCTGCAACAGTTTTAAAATCTCACATAGCTGCTGTATGTGTATTTTTTTTTTTTTTTTTTTTTTTTTTTTTTTTTTACATATATGCATGCTTATATAGCCAATATATAATAATTTTAACTCAATTAGCTTTATGTTATTTATTTTTTCTTTTTTTAGATTCCATTGCACAGTTTCTTGTCTGAAAAAGAGCAAAATAAGAACTTCCAAACGCAGTTATCATTATTTAAAGATTTACTAAGTGCATCTTCAAAAAGTTGAAAAACTGCTATTCCTTTTATTTTCAAATGAATGAGCTGGTGATTCCTAATTTATAACTAACTAATGAATACATATGAACTGTTGGCAAAAATAAAATTTTAACAGTAGCTCAAGAACCACTTAAACTAGATTTGGTTTTAAATAAAGTAGTAGTATAAATTGTCAGACACTGAAAACTGTTTTGTAGTATGTATATCTTCTTTAACATATCAAATTAAATTTTGTTTTAAAATGAATAATTTTAAAATATTTTTTTTATATAATTAAAAGGGGAAAGTATGCATTGGCATTGTTTTTTCTATTATAGTACCATATTCATTTTAATATTTCATACAATTTTCAATAAATTTGCAATGAAAATGATAGTTAATTAGAAATAGAAGAGATTTATTCAACATTATATATATTACAAATGCATTTATAAAATTAGTTTGACAGTGTTTTTCCTTACAGTTGCTTTTATTAGATACAAATATTAATTTTCAGTAATCCATTATGTACTGTTACAACATTTTTTGAAACAGTCTACTTTAATATTTGATTTCAACTACATTTTCTTGCTTTGTTTCTGACAAAATAGTATTTCTATTTCAGTGTCAAAACTATAAACAATTTTAAGCCTATGAATTTTTCCATATTAAGTTTAACTATAATCACAGTGGATAATTTTTTCCAGATACAATTTAACTTGATATTTGTATAATGTAAAAAGAATTTTACATGAAATACTGATGTATTTTATGTGAACTAATTACAATGCTGGCTCTGAGATCTATTGTATGTTTTTGTAATACATATGATTTAATAATGTGTTATGGAGCCTTTGAATTCAATATCCATGTTAACCTGCACACCATGTTAAAACAGAGTAAAATTCTTCACTATACTAAATTCAGATGCATATTGGTAACCTGTTAAAATGATATTTAAATGGAAGTAAAGATAATTACTTCCTCGTAAACAGCCAGAAAAAATTGTGACAATCAATTCTATCAGCTGGATTAAAATGACATTTAAGTAAATTTCTAAACTATACTGAATAATAAATGTTGGGGACAAAAACACAAAATTCTGGAGCATTTTAAAACTGTAATCTTAATCAGACATTCTTATATTCATTTTATCATAATAGATTATTATTTGATGATTTATAACACTGTAAACGTATTTGATAATCATATAGTATATGATCTACCATATTTAGTTAGTTATTGATTTTGTAGATGGCGGCGCTATTATTGGTTGCTGTTTTAATTTCTTTTTGTCGCTACTTTATTGCACATTCAAATTTAAAAATAGAATTTATTAGTAGCAGCTGAGAAATAATTAACTAAAAGCAGTAAATTACACACTACATGATTACCACAAATTTCTCCTGGCACCTGAAAAATTAACATACGCATGTTAAATGTAAATCTGAAGAACAATTTATTACCCACAGTTTTATCCCATAATTATTTTTATGGTATGAAAAATATAATAAGCAAAATTACTTATGAATCTTAAAATTTTATATTAATCATCAAAAGTCACTACAAAGTTACCTTTGGTCAGAATTGTAAAGCTGATTTCAATAAATCAACAAACAAATATTTAAAACATTAAACATCTTTTTATAAAGCTATTTACAAGTTTGTACAATTTTTCAGAAATTTCCATTCACATTTAAAAAGTTTTCAGTCTTTTTTTAATTGTCCAAATACTTCATCAGGCACACCTCTTTCTTCTAGTTGTATTTCTAAAAAAGAAAATAATTATATATTACATAGAATATATAATGATGAATTTCCTACATGTAGAAAAAGGTGCTACTGTATAGTTGAGAAGTGTTGCAGCATTTCTAAACTGAATATCACTATAATAAATACAGTGTATTAAAATGATTATATGAGATTTGCACAGCCGATTCATATAGAAGTATTTTTCTTACATGAAATGACATATTAAATGCAGAACTGTCATAGGAATTGTGAGCAGAAAACATTCTATGGACTGCATTTTTTAAAGTGCAAATCAGGTTTAGATACCAGATTTAAAATCAATCTCATACCTGGCATTGAGCTATAATATGTGCAGTTTAAATAAGGATGACTCAGTAAAGTGTCATCTAAGAAAGCATTTAGGATATCTGCTTGTATCAGGAAAAGTTAGGTGTGTCAGAATCTTGTACACAATAAAAATGTGTATTTTGTCAAATGTGAATTAGAGATAACATTTACGAATAAGACTATATACACAACTTCAACTAGTACCATTTTTTACACATTTTTTAATTGTTTCATATTAAAATAAACAGAATACTACTTTTGACATTATCGATTTTCCCTCTTTTTTTGTTAATTAGATTCTTCTTAAATAATGTATTGCAATAAATATTACATTTAATTCATTACTATAGCCAAAATTATCAATAAAATAGTTACTTTTTTTATCTAATTTATGATACATCTTTTAATCCCATTGATAAATGACAATTTAAAAATCTAATATTGAAATTTTCAGGTTTAGTTTTTGAATACAAAAATTTATATAGTAATCTCTCAACTTGCATAATACACAACCTATGTAAATAAGAAAAATCACATCACTCAAACCAAAACTCAGAAATATGTACTCCATAAATGATTCCTTCTTTTGCTGTACTTTTAAGGTTAATTGAGCTACTTATTTAAAACAAAAAGACTGAGCATTTTAACCTCACTCAATTCTAATTTTGCTCAAAAAAAACCTGAAAGTGTTATTGCAGTTTCTTTTATATATATATATATCATGCTTTTTTACATGTTTTATGTACAAAATAATACTGTGTAAATCATATATCATATATGTTATGTATACATGCAAATAATATTAACAAATATTGCAGTTTCTTATCCAGTTATGTTTAAGCAGTTTACAAATTTGACTTGGGAAGTTGTTGTATTTAATTCTTGGCCTCTTTATTATGTAATATAATATTTAGAATTGCAAAAATCTCATATTCTGCACACTAAAATGAACAGCTTTTGTAGAATTCTGAATTTATAAAACATTAAATTTCACTTATTAGAAAGTAATAAATGCCAAATTTCATTTATAGTAATTAGTGTGTTATTATCCATATTTTTAGGAGACCAATAATTCAATACATGCACATTCTATTACTTTAAAATAACTAACTCATTATTGAATTTACAGTTTCTAGAGCTCAGCAAGTTATATAATGATCATTAATTCTAATTTTGCTCATACTAGCAAAATTAGAATTAATGATCGAAATATCAGATGGCTCCAGAATGTTAGCAGTTATATCCTTTTTAATGTCTAGGTCTCTCAATGATAGCAAAAAGTATATGCCTACATTTGCTCTAGATATGCTTGCGAGATGCCGCTCACAATACCATCAAGATCAGTCTCAGTTACGTTAACCGCCCAACATTATGCCTATGGGCACCATGGCACCCACTGATTGCTTAAGGTGTGCCCACCGCTGTGCAACCAAAATAAAATGTTTTAGTTTTCAATAAAATTCTATGTGGAAGTTTTCTCATTTTTAATGAATTAGAAATTGTGTCCAGTACAGATACTAGCATAAAGCAAAATACGACTGATCTCTTTTTTTTTTATGATGTGCATGTATTATTAACTCTTATCCAACTATAAATTCACCTTGAAAAAATAAATGGTGCCTGCCATCCAATACATATTTTAGAATGTGCTCTTAGGAACAAAAAAGGTTTGCGACCCCTGCCTTAGATGAGTGCCAGATAACAGCACCTCTCTTCACCCCTCCAGTAGCAATTCTTCCATCATACAGCCAGATTAGTTGTCACAAGACTTTTTTTTTAAAAAAAACCTGAAAGTGTTATTGCAGTTTCTTTTTTCTTTTTATATATATATATATATATATAAAAGCTGATATATATATATATATATATATATATATATATATATATATAATGCTTTTTACATGTTTATGTACAAAATAATACTGTGTAAATCATATATCATATATGTATGTATACATGCAATAATATTAACAAAAATATTGCAGTTCTTATCCGTTTGTTTAAGCAGTTACAAATTTGACTTGGGAAGTTGTTGTATTTAATTCTTGGCCTTTATTATGTAATATAATATTTAGAATTGCAAAAAATCTCATATTCTGCACACTAAAATGAACAGCCTTTGTAGAATTCTGAATTATTAAAACATTAAATTTCACTATTAGAAGTAATAAATGCCAAATTTCATTTTATAGTAATTAGTTGTGTTATTATCCATATTTTTAGGAGACAAAATTCAATACATGCACATTCTATACTTTAAAATAACTAACTCATTATTGAATTTACAGTTTCTAGAGCTCAGCAAGTTATATATGATCATTAATTCTAATTTTGCTCATACTAGCAAAATTAGAATTAATGATCGAAATATCAGATGGCTCCAGAATGTTAGCAGTATATCCTTTTAATGTCTAGGCTTCAATGATAGCAAAAAGTATATGCTACATTTGCTCTAGATATGCTTGCGAGACGCTCACAATACCATCAAGATCAGTCTCAGTTACGTTAACCGCCCCATTATGCCTATGGGCACCATGGCACCCACTGATTGCTTAGGTGTGCCCACCGCTTGTCAACCAAAATAAAATGTTTTAGTTTTTCAATAAAATTCTATGTGGAAGTTTTCTCATTTTTAATGAATTAGAAATTGTGTCCAGTACAGATACTAGCATAAAGCAAAATACGACTGATCTCTTTTTTTTTTATGATGTGCATGTATTATAACTCTTATCCAACTATAAATTCACTTGAAAAAATAAATGGTTGCCTGCCATCAATACATATTTCGAATGTGCTCTTAGGAACAAAAAAGGTTGTGCGACCCCCCTGCCTTAGATGAGTGCCAGATAACAGCACCTCTCTTCACCCCCCAGTAGCAATTCTTCCATCATACAGCCAGATTAGTTGTCACAAGACTTTTTTTTTAAAAAAAAAACCTGAAAGTGTTATTGCAGTTTTTTTTCTTTTATATAATTATATATATAAAAGCATGATATATATATATATATATATATATATATAAATATATATATATAATGCTTTTTTACATGTTTTATGTACAAAATAATACTGTGTAAATCATATATCATATATGTATGTATACATGCAAATAATATTAACAAATATTGCAGTTTCTTATCCAGTATGTTTAAGCAGTTTACCAAATTTGACTTGGGAGTTGTTGTATTTAATTCTTGGCCTTTATTATGTAATATAATATTTAGAATTGCAAAAAATCTCATATTCTGCACACTAAAATGAACAGCTTTTGTAGAATTCTGAATTATAAAACATTAAATTTCAACTTATTTAGAAAGTAATAAATGCAAATTTCATTTATAGTAATTAGTGTGTTATTATCCATATTTTTAGGAGACCAATAATTCAATACATGCACATTCTATTACTTTAAAATAACTAACTCATTATTGAATTTACAGTTTCTAGAGCTCAGCAAGTTATATAATGATTAAAAAATAAACAAATAACTAAAAATTTGATTAAATTATGTTCAAACCTGACTGTTTTTTGCATATTGATTATTTATGCAATATTTAACTCATCTAATTTATTATTAAATTTTTCCCACATTTAAAGAGATACTTACCATCAATTTTAATTTCATCATCAGATTCTACATCATCCAGGTTAATTTCATCTGAGTTATACACTTCAGCTTTACTTATTTCTTTTTCAGGTTCTGTTACTTCTCCTCTATAATTCATTATATTAATAAAATTAATGGAAAAAGAATTTAGAAACTAGAAATGATGTTCAAAATATTCAATGACCAATATACTTCAAATACATTTTATTTAAATTTTCACAAAATTTAAATACAGAGTTTTTTTACATATATAACACTGGTATCCTTATTGGCTATACTGGCTAAGCATCACTACTGCCTATAACCCAAACTGAAATTCAATCTCAATATTATAAGTATCAGTTTATGGTCCAGAAATGTCATCCATGAGCCAATTTTTGACATAAATGACACTTTTGGTAAGCTTGTTGGTTACATTGGCTAACCTACACTGGCCTGTAACTCAAATTCAATCTCTATTACAAGTATCATCAGTTTATAATCCAGAAATGTCATCCATGAACCAATTTTTGAAGCCATTTCTTTATTAAATTAGTTTTATGTTTGCTCATGAAATATTATTGAAGAATAACACCTTTGATTTATTTATTGCATTACCTTGTAAATTCCTATTCAATGTAATTTTAGTTTCATGTAGTACAATTGCAGGTACCTTGACATCCCAATCCATATGGCAAATTAGTGGAGATTATAGGAGGAGTTAAAGAAACAACAATCAGCATAATATTTATAATTTGTAAGGCTAGTTTTGAAGATTTAAATATAAAAACCTTTTCTTCAGCTGCAGAAGTGCAAATGTCAAAAGAGATGCCAGATGTAAGATAAGGTGATAAGAATGAGAGGGGAAGCCCTCTTAGTCTTATCCTTGTTGATCTCCATTTGCATTAGTATGAATTAAAACTATTTGTAATTTTAAACTTTCCTGGGTGGTTCCATTATGTTGAAGATATCATTATCTTGTTTGATGGTAATAAAGATGATTTAAATAAAGTATGTTCAACAATGAATTCTACTGATCATGCCATTCAGTTTACTTTTGATCTTAAAATATCCAATTCTCTTCCGTTCCTTGATACCTTGGTCACAAGCAAAAGATCCCACTTTAGTACAACTGTTTGCCTTCCACTACATTTCAAATCATGCTATTCAATTAAACAGAAGTTAAGCTTCATTTTATTCCTTCATTTTCCATGCACGTCAAATTTGCTCATCCAAATCTTGATCAAGAACTAAATTACTAGCTAAAGCAGCTATTGTTTACAGAGACTTTTCACCCAACATTACTGACCAAGCAGTTAAAAATTTCTCATCTCAATAGCACTCTCTTGTTTTAGGGGATTACAAGAATATTTATTAATAGAAAGCACCAATGGCTTAGCTTCCCTGCTCCCATTCTTATCACCTTATTTTATCACTGGCTGAACTTTTGTCATTTGCACTTCTCAGGTGAAGGAGAAGGTTCTATATTTAAACCTCCAAAACTAGTACTGTAATTTTAAGATTATTACGCTGATTCTTGTTGCTTTAATTCCTCCAATAACTTATTCGGCATGCTATTTTAACTAAAATATTAGGAATTATCCAAAATACTAATAATAAATTTGATTTAAATCACAGATAAATATAAATTTTTATAACTAAAGTGAAACCTTAGCTCATAAATTTAACTCATTCCTAAAGGTCATCTGTCATAAGAAAATTTCATTAATGGTAACTATTTTGACTACAGTTGGTGTGGTGTAATTAATTATGGCAAAGCACACTACGGCTATCTGCCTAAGGGGAGGGATGCCTTCGTGGAGGACTTTCTAAGGGAAACTGGCTCGTATACACGTTACACATGGGGAAAACCACGAAAACGCCCATGCAGCCAGCCCGTTCGCGGGATTCGAACATCGGACCTAACTACCAGTGTTCAGTGACTTTACCGCTCGGCCGCTGGTGGGCATTTTGCCTACAGGAACTGCTGTGAAATAGATTTGTTTTTGGACAATAGATGATTACTAATTTGAACTTTATAACAGAAGTTTCTGAAATTTTTGCACTTCTTTCTTGTTGAGCTTGTTTTTATAGTCCTCTACCCTACTTGATCTTTGTAGAAGCAGTGAATCCAAGCCTACAGACACAAAATCATAGGCAATAACAAAAAGTCCTACATGCCAAAGCCTCATAATCTCTGCCAGCAACACAGTCTGGCCATAATTTTCCCCTGGTCAAGTTCACTGTCCTGTAAATTATTTACGGAGAGATTTTATTAATGATTTAGTTTTAAGCAACATAAAATATTAAAGTGATATTTCTGAAAGTTCTTGTATCATAGGTTACCTAAAAATGCCTCTGTAAATCATTGGTTGCCAACTTGAAAGCTTGCACTCATCATCTGAGGTGTTTTGTATTCACATAACTTACTCATAAATTGAACGGTTGTAATGTGAGGCCTTTGTGATCTGAGGTTCCACTATATAATGTTTGCACAAAAGAGCATTTTTAAGTCAATCAATTTGAAAATCCAACACTGCTAATACGAAAAGAGAAATATAAAACCTTTAGTTTCTACTCACTAATCTTCTCATGATCAAATCTGGGTAATAGCTAGGTATACTTGAAATACTGTCACTAATGATAGGATATGCAACCCATAACAAACATATTCTTTTGCCCTACCCATGATTACTCAAGGCCCTCCTTATATGATAACAGTGGAATTTTAACATTAAGCAAATCTGAGATTTTTTTATTGGGCAATGAATGACCATTTATGAATGGAATGAAATATTCAAATTCAGAATCCTAACTTGCTGAAAAATGGCCATACAAATTAGCCTATCCTAAGCTCTTTTTACATATTACTGAATAAATAAACAGCACAAACTAATTATGTAATTAGAACTCTTCTATAATTATAATCTGCTTCATGCAAATGTCATGTATTCAACTTGCATCTTTAAGTACAGCATTCACAGCAGCCATTTGTCAGAAAATACTTCATAAATATTAAAAGAAAAAGCAATCATATGCCTCTACCAAACAGAAAACGATTATCATATTTATAACCAGCACATTCAGAAAAAAAGCGAACAATTTTTAATATTTGGTAACTTTTTATTTTTCAAATTTAGTATGCTTTATTAATAACATAACATAATCAAAAGGCCTCGTATGATTTTAAAGGTACCTAATAATTTTAATCACAGAGGGTTAATTGCTCATACTTATAGCACTCATCACTTTTTTGTAGCAAAAATAATATATAATTCTTTTTTCACTAATAGTTTTAAGTGTTAAATAATTAATGAATGAATTTAACTAAAAAATTCTAAATTCTAGACAAAGCTCTATTTCATTCTGGATATTTTCTGAATATTTTTAACAGCTTTGTTTTTTATTTAGAAGAAGAACAAAAGTCAAAAAACAAAACAGAACAGAAGTCAACAAGTTAGGAGAAGAACAAGTCAACAGAAGTCAAACAACAAAAATCAGCATTAATTTTCAAATTTTCACAGGACTAGTTTCGATGGTTTTACTGAACCATCATCCTCAGCTGCAAAAGCGCAAATGAATGAGATAAGATAAGAAGGCCTGGACAGGAGATAAGCTACTGGCGCCATCTGTTGATGAAACCAAAACTAAAACATAATTTCTTTAAAGGCTGATGGCAAAGATGGATTGGAATTAGGGTCGTTAACTAGAACAGAAAGTTTTTTTAATGTGAAATGCCTCTAGAAAACCCAGTTCACCAATGGAAGATGTTTTTTGAATAATTTTGGCAGCAGAAAAATTGAAAGTGTGATTTTTAGACCAACAATGTTGGACTTCTGTGTTTCCTTTTTTCTAACTTATGCCTTATGTTCCTTAACATGAAATTTTAAGGCTCTCTTAGTTTGGCCACACTGACAAGGTAATTAAATGTAAATTGAACCACACTGACAAGGAATCCTGTAAATATCCCAGGAATTCATATCCGGAATGGGGTCCTTCAGTATGGAACTTGGAATTTTATTGATGGGAGAATAAACGACCCAAAAATTAAATTTCTGTAAAATATGTTCAACTTTATAGCTAATTGATGCGAAGAAGGGAATGACAACAGAATTTTTATAATCTCCAAAAACACGCTTAATATATAGCCCACATTGACACATCTCGCTTTTCTTTTCTTTATTCATATATTTAATTGCATACTGGCATTTTAATCACAGAAGGTTAGTTGCTCATATTTACAGCTCTCATCACTCTTTTGTAGCAAAAATAATATAGTTCTTCTTTTCTCAGTAGTTCTTAATACTGAATAACAATAAATAGATTAAATTGAAAAATTCTAAATTCTAGGCAGTGCTCTATTTCAATCTAGATATTTTCTAAATATTTTTAACAGTTTTGTGTTTTTATTTTCTTATTTCATTTTTCCTCAAAAAAAGTTTAAACATACGAATATAACAAGTTTAAGTATAGCCCATATTTACATACGGACAAACTAATCAAAAAAAGATAATTACCTGACAAATGCAACTTTGTTTCTATTAATTGGTTGATCTCTAGCAGCTTCTGTAGCCAAGACCTTAGCTTGTGCTTCTAAACGTTGCATGCTATCTTTTCCAGTATCTGAAAATGTATATGTAATTATGAATCATATATTGGAATTTTTTTAAATTTGTGAACTCTAGTTATTTTCTAAAAACTTCTATAAACTTTTCTTTTCACCAAAAGTGTAATAATAAACTGTGGCACACAATTAAATCTCTACTACTACTAGACTGATTGCCGAAAAAACTGCACTGTAATCATTTGAATCATCTTAAAATTTGGGACCTATGAAATATGATAGAGTAAACAGTATTTTAGGCAATAAAAGGAAACAATTATACATATTGTTACATTTTTTTTTCCTTACTTCTGCCACCAGTTGTTACGTTATTTTCTTCCTTCACTTCACGTTCGTACAGGGTTCGTAGATTTGGAGTGAATAATGAGGACACTACTTGATGAAGTATCGAAACACACTTTATTAGCCAATGTTAATCAGGACAGCTCCAATAACACTCACTTTTACAGTCGTCGAAAATCTACTATAAACACGCTGGAACAATCAGCGACACAGCCTTCACACTGTCAGGCAATAACGGTGGAGACAGCTTCACTGCAAAGCACTAGAGTACAGCTTCCAATTCTGTTTGGTCACTCTCGGAACTCCACGTACTCCCGAGACTCTCCACGCTACAACTCGCGATGCACTCGACGACACACAGAGCACGCTCCCGACTCTCGGTTCAGTCATTTCCGGAGCTCAACACGCTCTCTCGACGATGCACAAACCGCGATACTCTACGAGACTCTTTCGGTGCACTCGGCACTCGCTGCCCAGTTGTCAACTCGATCGCCTCCGCAGGATTGACTCGCTAGACGAGACACACTTACTGAGTGCGGACCAGCAGGGTTTATATAGCTTTCGGCTTGTGTTCGGGAACATTCTGGACTAAACCGGTAAGAATTTGTTCCAGAAGGTTCTCCAACCGTCCATGGTATATCGCCAAATGGGCGATTTCTCGCCAAATGTGGCAACCCTGCCCTCCTTGCTATTTTATGGCAACCCTAAAACTGCCTTGCGGGGAAGCTACTTTACCGCGTCTTTACATTTCGTAACAATATATTTCTTGTTTCCTCTAGTTATACATATAGAGAGTAATTATCACATGTTAGTGTATGTGATAATTACTCTCTATAACTATATCTAAACATAATTTTATGCTACTATAGTTTGACCAACTAAATGCCTAATATATAGTTAAAGTAATTGCATTGATGGAAAGATAAGATGAAAATGTGCGTGTAAGATAAATATGTAAATCAAATTTCTAACTTTAATTTGCAATACTCTCTTGGCTCTCTGTTTTGACCTGTTATTGACTTCCTCTTTTCATTCTAAAAACAATTACTGCTTATAATAAAAAGTACATCATTTCAAAATGAATGTCACAATTCTTACATAATGCTTATAATGCAGATACTTACATAACACTTCAGCTAATAATAATTTCAAATATGAAAACTGAAATTTAAAATTAACCAATCAAAACAAAATTAAACTAAATCACTCAGAATGAAATTTTTATCCAAGATACATATTTTTTCACAGCTGTCTTCTCCATCTAAATTTATTGTTATAAAGATGCAGAAAAGGGGAAAACATGATCAAGAACACGTGTACAGACTGCACCCCTTATGTAATTCATATTATGAATGTGTTTCTCAAGATTGAAAAAAATGTTAAACTGGTACAAATGCTGACATCTTTTATGCACTAAGGTTCATTATTTCATAAGTCATGTTTTCATCTGTGTCAACAATTTCTAAATTATTACAAATATATATTTAGGAAATACAAATCCTTTTAAAACTAGAAAGACATTTGTTGATTTGAACATAGCCTCACTACCATATACAATATATCAACAATTTAAACAAGTACAACAGTTTATATTGCATAGATAAATAAGAACCATGAAGTATATTTAAGATCTTTCATGTATTTTTGTTTTTACATGGTTTTATTCAGTTTGTTTGCTCTGTCTATTTGCAGGGGTCAAAACTTAATATTAGTTTTTGACTGCCTTATAATGAAACAATTTTGTTGAAATTTTTTGCAAATACATATTTGCACTAATATAAGATTTTAAATAATAAATCTTTTTTTAATTCTTATTTGATGGCCAAAACTAATGATTGGAATCAAATCAGTGTAAAGATGACCAAACTAATCATTTTTACACTGTTGGAGATCTTTCAAACAATGATCTGTCCAAATTTGTAATACAATTTGCCAAATTTTGACAGTTTTTCAAAGATTGTTCAATTTTTAGCTATTGAGCACTTGTCAATAATGATGAATTAAAAGGAACAAAGTACATTACAACAATAGATTTAACCCTTCTCTGTTAGCACTCCATGCTTATGCAAGTTTGATATTAGATTTCTAAACAAAATAGAAATTTAAATTAAGTATATGTTATCACATACAACCTGTTACATAATTTTATGCTTTCTGCTATTAAATTTGTAAAGATAATATTTAATTTTAATAATACAGAGAATTTAAGCTTTTATTTATTACTGTAATGATGCTTTTAATAAAACATTGAGCTGACCAATTAAGATTTCCTTACTAATTAATTCACCAAATCACTCATGTTTCCATAAAATTCATTGTCTAAACCAAAATTTATAATGGGAACTACAATAAGAATATGATTTTAAAACAAAATGGCAACTCTGTTTAAAATGTTATAACTATCATTAATTTTTAATTGTGCTAAATATTTTCTGATAGTTCATATGGCTAAATACAGGCTTCAAGAACATTAAGTCTAGGGCAAAAAAACTCTTCTCAGATGAAACTCATTTCTGCTTAATGAGATACATTCCGCAAGAGGAGACGAGGAAAAATGTGGTCACGTGGTTTACAAACAACAACATCCGCATGAGCTATGTTTAAACGGAGTCAATAACAGATAGTCCGCTGAAATTAACTGATTTTTCGAATTTAGAATTTTATGGCTATTGGGAGAAATTAAAAAATATGCTTGGAAATGATTTCTCTTTCTTTGATGTCAAAAAGAAGAGTCTTTTGTTATTCAAGGAAAAACATGTGAACAATATTTGCTTAAAAGTAATGTCGGATATCACAGTACTTACAAGAAGCTGTGTTAAGGCCGAAGTGAAGAAACCAATTAATTATGAAACATCTGTGCAAATTTCTGCAGAAAATGAGGTACAATTTATAAATTTTTCTTGTGCATGATGCATAACAGTATTAATAATGTTTTCATTAAGAATATTAAGTGTATATCAGTTAATTGAAAACTATTCCCGAGACCTTGAATAACGTTTTCCAAACTTTTAAATGTAAGTGTAATAATAGTATGTTCATAGTTCATGAATAGTTGTTCTAAATTATTGAAATAATCGAATTCGTGAAAGATCTGTTTATCTGCAAGAACATAAATACAAAGCCAATTTTTTCTTATTAATATTAATTAGTGTTATAGAATATTTTATGCAGCTAAAATTTTATTAATTTTATCAGGATATGTTTTAATATTTTAGCTGTTGTAATCGATATTTAATGAATACACATATAAATATTGAAATGTTAATTTTTTTAATACTTTCCATTATAGATATTAAGGATACCAACAGCTGTAATATTAGAAGCATCAGTAATACTGAAATATTTTAATATAAAAGGATGCTTTTATAAGAATTTATACTTAATTCTAAATTTTCATGGGAGATTGTTGAGATTTTTTATTTAAATATTAAATTAGCATGTATATTTAGTCCTTGAAAATCAGCGGTTGTGTCAGTCCATAGTTTGAGATAACATGTGCTCTAGATATATACATTAGAATTACACTAGTCTATTTCCTATGGTAGATCTTTTCAATAAATACACTTGAAAATCTTTTTGAGCTACATGATTTTAAAATAAAAAAATTCTGCACATTAAATTATGTAACTTACAAGATTAAGTTAAAATGTCTACAGATAGTACTTTTTTATTATTTATTACTATAAAATGAAGAAAAATGTATTATGAAAAATTATTAGTTTTCACAGCTAGTACTGCAGTGAACTCAGTTGCACAAATCTCTATATTTTTAATTTTTGGACATTTATATTATAGTATACAAAATGTGTTAATTTGCAGTTTATACTATCAATAGGATAATAGTTCAGTTGCTAAAAATTAAATTTTAAGTTGTATAAAATTATATATTAATTTTGAATTGCACAGAACATTGGCATCATTATGCTTACATGATTTAAGGGCCTACTGCATTTACAGTGCTCTGGAAATTTGACTATTACGATTTTCAGAATTCAACTATTTATATTTACTGTTCTGCTAGTTAAGCTTATAAAATTATGACATTAAAATATTTATAGTAACTTTCTTTTCAGTGTAGAAGAGCAAATTATGTAAACATAATTTTATGTATTCATTTTTACATTTTTTATAAATGAATTGATTATCAGATCAAGGAAAGAATTCATACATAAATATTAACAAACAAAATATGGTAAAGCAGCGAACAAAAGAGTATCATGAAGATAACAATAACATATAAGAGTTACCAAAATTATACCAGCCAAATGAATGAAAGTTACTTAATGGATGAAATAATAATTAAAGATGAAATGCAAATTTCATAACTAATAAAAAATAAACAGTTTCCAAATTTTCAACACACCATAGCACAAGCTTGCTTGTTTACATTAGCAGTTCTTACATCATGTGACCTCTGACGTCACCAGAATGTATCTCATTAGATATGTTAACAAATAACATTGTCATTTTTGGTGCGAAAAAAACCCGTAAGAGATGCACAAGAAGCACTTACTTTGCAAAAGGTTACTGCATTTTGTGGTTTCTAGCATAGTGGCACCATTAGACCATTTTTTTCCCTAAAACAAGGGAGGAAGTGTAGTTACAGTAACTGGTGACCAATAGGACATGTGGTTCCATACAATGACAATGTCATTGTCAATATATTGCAAAAAACATTTTTGGTGAAAGGATAAATTCACAAAAGAGAACTGTTAGTTGTCCTCACGAAAGGTTTTGCTTTAACTCCTTTAGATAACTTTCTGTGGGGTTATATGATTTATACTGGAGTAATAACTCTATTATAGTTATTATTCCAAGCTGATTACTCATTCTCCCAATTTACATAAAAAAATTAATTAAAGAAAATGTACCATGAGGAAATTATAATCTGTCGATTAAAAATCTTACCTGTAAGACCATCAGATGCAGCTACAGCAGCACTCAGCATCTGTGCTGACATAAAGTTGACCTGAGTATTAACTGAAGCTTGAACACTCCTTCTGATTCTCAGCATCTCTCTCATAGTATCTTCATTTCCATGTCGAACTTCAAATTCTTTCCATAAATCCCAAAAATCTACATTTGTCTAGAGATGTGAAGGTAACAGTATAAATTTTGTGAATGGAATATCAAATAATTTTCTAAAACTTTTAATCATATTATTTCTAACATTATTATCTATAGCATAAGATATACTGCAGACATAACAAAAAACTATCCAATCTTTCATTTCCATTTTCTGTTATTAACTATGATAGGCTGCATGCATGTATATATCCATTCTCTTGGAATTTTAATCACAAGAATTCATTAGAATAATTACTATTGTGCTCAACTACTTTTATATGAAAGGCAATAATTTTCTACATGAAGATCTATTACAGCGCAACAGCTTCATTCTATTAAACAAACAAACAAAAAAACAAAAAAAAATCTGAAAGCTTTCAGAGTTTATATTACACCCAACAGGGTGTTTCTTTCTTAGTGTTTTGTGTGCTACCTTTATTTATTAAATATTATGTTCTTCGTATTTGTTGTTGCTTTTCCTCCGGTTTCTGATGAAATCCGACAAGGTCCAAAAGACCGTTGACTCTAAGAAAGTCAAGCACAAGGAGGGGATTAGAGAAAATATCCTCTCTAGAGAGGCCCAAACAGCTTAATATGTGCTCGGCAAGACACCTGATGTTCTTGGCACTTGGTGCATGTTGCAAAGATTTTCATGCCCTCCTCGAAAGAGAGGTGGCACCTGTCACACTCAAGGGTCAGAATCCTTGGGCAGCAACCAGGCTTGCTGCCCAAGTATCAGAGATGGGTGGGAGGCACCAACCATTCCACCATGATTTGTGATGTTTTCAGATAATACAATTCTAGATAGATATTTGAATTAAGGTTGTTAATTAGAACAGAAAGATTTTTTTGAATGTGAAATGCCTCTAGAAAATCTAATTCACCAATGGAAGGTGTTTTTTGAATAATTTTGGTTGCAGAAAAATGAAAAGTGTGACTTTTGGACCAAAAGTGCTGGGCAACAGAATATTTCTGTGTTTCCTTTTTCCTAACATGTGCCTCATATTCTTTAATACAAAATTTTAAGGCTCTCTCAGTTTTACCAATATAAATTAAAACACACTGGCAAGGAATGCTGTAAATACCCATGTAGTCATATGCAGAATGGGGTCCTTAAGTATGGAAATGGGGATTTTATTGATAGGGGGAAAATGATTGGAAAGTTAAATTTCTGTAGAATATGTGCAATTTCATAGCTAATCGGAGAGAAAGGAATGACAACAGAACTTTTAGAATCTCCTAAAATGAGAGTGTGCCTTTTGATGTGTTTGAGATAAGAATTTTTGAACTGCTTGGTTAATAATGTTGGGTGAGAAGTCACTGTCCATAGCAACTACGTTTAAATAATTTAGTTCTTGATCAAGATCCAATTTGGAGGAGCGAACTTGAAGTGCACAGAAAAGAATAAAATGATGCTAACTTCTAATTAGGTCACATGACAAGATTTGAAATGTGGTGGAAGGCAAACCTAAGAAGATTTATAGTAAATAGTAGCATTGAAGTTGGATATATTAAATGTGACCATAATGTTGAGGAACGGAAGAGAAATGGATGTGTCAAATTCAAAAGTGAAGTGAATAACAAGATCAATGGAAATCATTATTGAAAGAATTTTATTTAAATCAACTTTATTAGCATCAAACAAGGTAAAAGTATCATCTACATAGCAGAACAACCATACCGGGAAGTTTAAAGTTTCAAATGATTTTGATTCATAATAATGCATGTAGATATCAGCAAGGAAGGGGCTAAGAGTACTTCCCATGGCTAATCCTTCAGTTTGTTTGTAACACTTAATTTGGAAAACAAAATGTGTTTGTTTCAAACAGAGTAAGGGAAATCAGCTATTTCAAACCATTAAAACTAGTCCTGCAAAATTTACAAATATTATGCTGATTCTTGTTTTTTGACTTCTACAAAAAAGACTATAACTTCTTAGGAGATATTTTTAGAATTGTCTGTGGAAGTGATGTTTTCTATCAAATTATAAGTTAAAGGAATAGATAGAAAATTAAAATAAATCTGTTAGGAAATTTCAGAATAGAACGTTCCGACTGAAACAGAGTAATACGGACATAAAACTTTACTTAAATAAAAATCAAACTTATAGGCATAGATTTGAATATACGCATGTCCCTTTCAATGATTATCAGACATTCAGGGCATTTACAGAAGCAAGAATTATTTGAAAAAAGTTTTGTTCAAAAACCAAATATTTTTGCTAAAAAAGAGAAACCACTGATGATCATCAATTAAAGTTTTATTAAAAATCTACACCAATCACATTTTTGCCAAACTTTAGAAAAAAGTTATTATAAAATTTCTTCATCATCTTTACATAAGCTTTGTGCAGAATCCTTAGAGCAACTTTTGCATTTTTGTCAGTATTTATTCATAAGTATCTATTCTTCCATAAGTTGACAAAGTTACCTTAATTGTGCACTTTTTAATAATTACATTCAGTTTACAGAATCAATTTTTTAATGAACAAACGACATTCCTATGGGTTTGAATTATTCAAAAAATTCTTCTAATCTTTATGTTTTCACATAAGAATTTCACTTCTAAAAAATCCCTTAATTAAGTTAATATAAATTACTTTGCCAATAGTTAAGTATATTGATGATATTGCTATAAATTATTTTGAGAATATAGAAGCACACAATGTTTATCCTTCTAGTTTGATTCCTAAAACAAATTAACTATTTAAGATTTACATACTTTGGATTTTAAAAAAAAATGACAAAAGAAGGAATTTTAATACAATAAAATTAATTCACAAGAAATCTAACACTTTGAAAAAATTATTAAGTCACATAATTCACAATCAACTTCTTAGAATCAAGAGTGTTTGTACTAAATTTAATTACCTTCAAGTAGAGATCCTCCAATAAAATTCCAAATATTATATTAACTTTTCTTTTAAAAAATCAGGAATTAACCACCAAGTTTAATCTGTTAATTTTATAACAACATGATTGCGTTATTCCAAACCTTAAATAAGAGAATAAAGCAGGATGGTAACTAAAATTAGAGGTCTGCATATATATGAAGTAAAATCTTCTTAATGTACAGTTTCGGTATTATAACTCTGGCTCTATACTGTTATTAAACATGCTGTTTTCATTTAAAAACACCCTGAACCATTGTTAGTTTTTTTAATTTTGTGCAATGATTTCTAGTAAACTCGTATCTTCCCACTCCCAGGTTCACAGTAAGAATGTTTAAAGTTTTTGAGTCATTTCTTTTATTCACATTACATGTTGTGTTTAGAAATACCTTTCTTCTATTTAGGAAATTTAAGTTAGATTTTACATTTATACATTTTCCTAATGTTTCCATATTTTATTTTAAACCTTTAGATGTTTTTAGAATTTGTACACTACTATATACTTTGATAATAGTATAGAATAATTTTTTTTTCTTTGTTTTATCACCAACAATAATTTATTATTACTTTGCTGTTTCATTAAGTTTTTATTGCACACTTTTAACCAAAGTGGCAAACATTGTTACTATAGAAAATTAGAATATTCAAAATTAATCTTCTTGCATAATATAGCTGTCGTCTTTTTACTTTTATCGTATAAAAAACATGATTTTTAAACCTACAGTTTTTTCATTTTTTTTTACAGTAATCTACATTTTGTATTATTATTATTATTTTTTTTTTTCCTTGTGTACATGTGTTTTCAAGAAGTGAATTTGCATTGGGGTATATTCTTAAATGTTTGAGAATAGGGAGTAATTAATTTTTCAATTATATTTATATAATTTTTTTTTTTTTTTTTTTTTTTTTTTTTTTTTTTTTTTGCACTCAAATAGTCAAGAAGGACAAAACATGTACTCAGAACTCCTTCATTATTCACGTTTAATGTTTTGAATAGTTTAATGTTTTGAATAAGTACTTCCTGATAAGTCTATTTGAAGCATTAAACTATGAATAATTAATTGGCAGATTTCCACAAGTGTTTTAATTTTTTTTTAAATTTTTATTACAAATTCTAAAGAAATCTTTAATTACCATTTAGTTTAAAATACTTAATATAGTAGCTACTTGTTTTCTTAATCCAATATTACAGTTATCTATATATCTCTTTATATATGTGTAATGCTCTTTTATATATATGTAGATAAAAAACTGAAATAACATTAAATGATGACAAAACAAAAACCGTGATACAAAATACCCCATTCCCAGTTATGGGTAAGTGATAGATTAAAATGAAAATGAAATTGTAAATTAAGTAAAAATATAGAAATGGAAAGGTAAATTTTACACTTTAAAAGTGAAAGATAATGATAATCCCTTCCAGAAAAGACCAGTCTCATCTACAAAAATGGGTGGTCTTCTAAGAAAGGACTCACTTCATGTTATTTAAAACAGTAAAATTTTACCCTTGGATCACACATCTGACTGCAGTGAGCATAAATTGCACGAGCTCGGTCAATTTCACCTAATTTCCTTTCCAGATCAGCAAATTTTAGGCACATTTGCTTTGCTTCATTGTCAGACAGCACCTCAATGGCTTGCTCATAGATTTGACGAGTGTAAGTAACTCCATAAATCTCAGCAGCTTTTTTCAAATAGACATTGAACATCTAAAGTAAACCAGTTCATATCAACATAAAAAATGATTCAATAGAAATACTATACATGCATTTATAAATCATAATTAATTGCCTTTATTTGACTTTCATACAAATAATAAAATTATAATACAAAATAAAAAATAATAAAATGAAAATTTAAAAAAATATGTATAAAACATCCTTCTGGAATGCATAAGGACTATTTTTATGGAATTAGCATTCTTATGAATTAACAGAACTCTGGCTTTTGAAAATATTTTTAATCTCTCACATATTAAATGATTAACATCTAGAACATGAAGCCATAATAACTCAAAATCTTCAAAAACCATATCAAACAAATAATAAAAGAGGAAATAAAAAAGTGAGAGAATAATACATCACCATCATATACTGTATTTACTTGCATATTGCCCTCCTTTTTTAGTGCAAGGTACTGAATTTTTCAATATTTACATAAATTTCCCTTCCTAAAAGAACTTAGAAAGCAAGCTTCCCTAAATTTTAAAATCGATTCATCTAACTAAATGATTTGCTCATGGATTTCGTGTGTGCAATTTTTTCATTCATTTTTTATGCTGGAGCAAGATAAAGGAAATATTGCAGAAGTCATCTGTAATGAAATGAACTGGGGGAGAGAAATCATTTGAATAAAATTTTAGTTATGGACTCTAAGGTGTTTACACAGGGAAAATGCAACTTACAATGAAGAAACACTTTTATTTCATTCGCTATATTGAAATACATGTACACCTTGCACACACACACAAACAAAAGAAATGGAACACTTCTATATCTCCCATTCTACTGGATCAATTGTCGAAATTTAACTCGTGTTTTCCAAGTCTCAAAAGCACGACTTATAATATACAGCGTGTTTCAAAAAGAATACAGTATTTCGAATGCATATATTTATTAAACTGTATGACATACGAATATGAAACTTTACACACATATGTACGAACCTCTCAAGTTCAGATTACAGACGTTACAGGTGTTCAATATATGCTCCATCAGCGACATGAACAATATCACATCGATACTCAAATTCCTCCTTACTTGGGCAAGCATGTCCATCGTCACTGATGTTATGGCAGTACGGATCTGGTTCTTCATCTCTTCCAGGTTCTGTGGGAGTGGTGGTACATAAAAACGTTGTCTTTAATGAAACCCCACAGGAAGTAGTCACAGGGTGTCATAGAGGCCAGCTGAGACATGCTAAGTCGCCAGCTCCTTGGCAACCAATCCAACTTTTCGATAGAGTTTCATTCAGATAATCGTGCACTTAACAACACTGGTGAGTGGGTGTCCTGTCTTGTTAAAAAATGAAGTTGTCTTCGTGCAGCCTCGGAAACAACCAGTTTTGTAACATAGCGAGATACTGCTGACTATCAACTGTGTTTCCATCAAAGAAAAATGGGCTGTAAACAGATAATCGGAATATCGCACAAAACACATTGATTTTGGGCGAATCTCATACGTGTTCAATGGCTGCATGTGGGTTCTGTAGGCTCCAAATTCGAACACTATGTTTGTTTACAAGACCACTAGCATGAAAAGTCGCTTCATCACTGAACACGATGCATTGTGCGAAAAGTGTTATCATTGTCAATAGCATCAATAATCTCATTACAAAATGCCACACATTTGCGTTTGTCATCAGGACGCAGAGCCTGTAACAAATGTAACTTGTATGGCTTCATAACCAACTGACACCTCGAAACATGCCAAATTGTCGTTGTAGGCAGTTGTAACTCCCAACTCGCATGACGAGTTGATTTTGAAGGACTACGTTGGAAAGCAGTTTGAATCCATGCAACATTTTTGCCAGAAACACGAGGGCAGCCAGGACTCTTTCCTTTACATACACATCCTGTATTTACAAACTGTCGATAACATCTGCCAATGTTCCACCCATTCGAAGGATCACTTTGGTACCTCAACTTGAAACATCTTTTGCACTGTAATCACGGAATTGCACTTCACAAACTCGTAGCCATTTTAAACATGTAACGGTTATTACGCAAAACAGAAGTCAACTGACATCTAGCGGCTATTAATATAAACTAGACTATGTATTCGTTTCGCCAATAGCCTAATCGAGGCGCAGTGATCGATAGCTTGGACAAAATAACGTATATTATAATACTTATACTCTTTTTGAAACACGGCATACATTAGATTTATATATAACATTGTTCTAACATAGGTATTCTGACACAAAATCAGACTTTTTCTGAAATAACATACCATTTCTTTTTTCAATATTTCGATTCTATGATTCAAATTATGCCAAAGTGCCAAGTTTTGTAAAAATCACAAGTAGTTTTTAAAAAAATTAACTCAAAAATTTCAGCTCCTCTATGTTAATTGAGTTTATATCTATATATACTATATATATTAATACCTCTTTTTTTTTATTAAACTTATTTGATTCTTCCTTTCACATTTCGAAATATGTAGGTTCATTCCACATACAATTCCCCCATTTTTTATGATTTATTTTTAAAATTTGTATTTTTAATTAATTTTTATAACCTATAAAATGTTTACCATCATCTTAAAGTAGATGTGTTTCTAAGCATACCTGCCAAAAATTAAGTTTTTTATTCAAAATTTCCAAAGATATAAGTAAATTTACATATTGGAGCATTTGGAAATTTGGAATATTTCTTATTTGCAATAATAAAGCCAAATGTGGTTTACACACTTTGTTAAAATTATGTGAAAGCAATGAATGATGACCTTTTTTCTGCTCTTGTACAATGAAAAAATGAAAGGAAAATAGGTTGCTTTAAATTAAACAGTTTGCCAAGTGAATTATTCAAGTGAATAAAAAAATGTGCCAAGCTAAATTTTCATCAAAATTTTCACATTTTTACCAAATAACCCAAAATTTAATATCTAGGCATAGTTTCAGTCATAGAATCAAAATATGGAAAAAAATTTATATGTAATTTCAGAAAAAATCCAATTTTGTGTCAAAATAACCTATGTTAGAATAATGCTATATATAAATCTAAAATATATACTAAGTAGCACTTTCGAGACATGGAAAATGCAAGTTAAAATTCGACAACTGGTTCAGTAGAACGGGAGATATAGAATTGTGCTCTTTTTTTTGGGGGGGGGGGGGGGCAATGTTTACTTAGGTATGCTGTTTAAAGCTCTCATTTCGTTTTTGGAAATGCTGTAATATTTTGCCACATGCAAAACAACTTGTGTAAATAAATTATGATATTACAATGAATAATGTTGCACCTTACTTTATGAAGTTTTTACCAATCATTCTGATATGGATATAGTATAAAATGTTAAACTGATGATTCACTTTTGGAACATGCACATAGACTGAAATTTGTTAATCTTACTCCAACAACGAAATACGAGCTTTAAAAGGACTTGCATCACCAAAATTTTCAAGTTAGTTTCTTTTAAGAAATATTGTATTCATTCTAAAAATGGAAAACAACGATATGGATCAAGCCACCGGAAATAAGCATGTGTTACAGTGAAAGCTACTCCTTTCTGTGCAATACGTCCTTTCTGTGGCATGCAAATACCGAAATCTGGTTTTGGCAAATGGAGAGCTAGTTCATGTTGGCCCATGTACCAGTGAAATGCACAAAACTCTACTGCACAGTTTCTGCTTTACACCCCTGTAGAGTTAGTGCTAGTGGTGGTAGACATTTTTTTAACCCTTTTAACCAAGGATGCATATGCTGTGATCGGAAACCATTCTGCATGCACGAGATGGAAGAATACAGGCTCACAGACTTCATTGATGCAGCTTGACGACAAAAGACCACTTTTGCTACATAGGTAATCATCAAATGCTACATGGGTAAGTAAGTATCAAATTCTACATGGATAAGAATCTTCTTAAATTACTTTTTTGCAGTGACTGCCAACAAATTCCAGCCATTTCCAATGATGCATTAGACAAGCTTGCCGAGATGTCCAATGGTATCACTTAAGCAGCCGGAAATGGTGCTCTGGTGTTTGAAATAAAAACAGAGAGCTCTACATTCAAAGAACTATTGATGGAGATTTCACTTTGCCTTTCTTGTATTCAAAAACGTTCCAGATCACAATCAAATGCAGGAGAGTGACAGGACAAAAAAGTGTCATTCATTAAGACACTAATAATACTGAGTACTGCTGGTACCATCAGCATTTTAAAAAAGCTGGCAAGTACATAAAACCTTGTACCTTTTAGGCAAGGTACAAAAACCCTGTACCTTTCAGGCAGAAAACTAGCATCTCTCTCACTCAACTCCTTGGCTGATGGCAAGATTGAGATTTAACATTTGTACCTCTCTGATAAACAAATGGTGTCAAAATATCTGATTGATATGGAAGCAGATATCTTGGTAGTTCTGCCTCCAGCTATGGAGCATCATCGACCACCTACCAACTGTCGTCTTTTTGCCACAAATGGGACTGCAATACCTACTTCTGGCCAAAAACTCATTAAGCAAGACTTATCATAGCATAGGTAATTTCACTGCCCATTTCTCATCACTATAGTCTCTTAACCTATATTGGTACTGACTTCCTCCATCACTTTGATTTACTGAGTGACATCTGTCAAGGATGTTTGGTGCAGCCATTTACCCGACTATAATCCAAAGGAGCTGTGACTGCAAAGATACAATTCACATCAAGGCTGTGTGTGGAGACACTAAATTTCACCAACTGCTTACAAAACCCCCTTTGCTTATGGAAGCTTGTTCAATGTCTTGAATAATTAAGCATGGCATTGCTCACTGTATTGAGGCTAGAGCACCACCTGTTTTTTCATGGCTATGCAGGCTTCTGATAACCTTAAAGCAGCCCAAAACAGAATTTCAGCATTTGGGAAACTGTGATCTGCAGACCCTCCAAAAGCTGCTGGGCATCCTCTCTGCACTTGGTGACCAAAAGCAATGGAGACTGGCAACCATGTGGGGATCATAGGAAATTAAAAAGTGTCACTATCCCAGATCAATACCCTGTTCCCCACATAC